GGCTTTCGATGAGAATCCCCAAATTACAGACTGAAGTGTCTTAAGGCCATTCCCAATGGGGGGATAATAACATATGAACATGTTGAATTGTAAATGGGCTGATTTATCAATGTCATGCTCATACTGTGCCAGAACAACATAGGGGGAACAGCTGCTTTTTCCTTCCTTATCCTAACTATAGTCATTTTTCCTCTGCTGTGTTCTTTCTATTCGAACTCATGGCATTGGACAAAAAGGACGAGGGCCCACCTTTTGCTGGATGGATAACAACAGAAACATTCAAACTTAAACTCTTTTGAATGGGTGGTTGGCTGGTGCTCTGGTATGGTTTGCTCTTTCTTCCTATCAAACATGTATCCTCCTTATCTCTCCTCCTTTTTTGTGTTTGTTACTCCCCTGTGACACCCTTAATCTTTAGCACTTATATGACCTAATTTTCTTGCAAATGCCGTAAAACGCTTACTTACACTATGCTCAAACTCAAACTCTTTTTTGCAGAGTGCATGGGTATACCGTGCCAAGTGCTGCCGAGGGATGAGAGTGGGATGAAAGCGGTGAGTCACGGTCGCTCGAACATCTATATATTCTATTTGTGAAAGTCCATCACTTTTGCTGCCTAAAACTCCCGAACCACTGAACTTTCGAGTTTGACAAAATTAATGGTGGTTCAGAATCATTTACAGGGTGCACAGTTTCATTGAGGAGCCTGAATTCACTGTTGTTTAATTTGCAGTTTTTCATTAATTTCGTTTAGATTTAATCTTGGGAAAGTCCATTTTATAGGATGCCATGGTAGACAAGTGAGATTTCCATTCACTAGCTGTGCGCATTGTTTCCACGCCTTTGAAATTATGAAGTGTTCAACCAAGAAAGCGGAATAGAGAATCAATCTATACATCTATTATATATTTAGCAACTTGGAAACACATGTGTCACTTTTCTCTCAAGACTTATTGCTCCATTTCAGTAAAGTGTAATTATAGTAGGCCAATGACTTTCAGTTGATGTTAATGCACCGATCATTCCTTTCATCGAAAAGGGGCCCAGCTAGTAACCAATAAACTCTTAGAATGCAAGAGAGGAAGGGCAGGGATTTGTCCTACTATAGTCTCCACCTCTGTCCAGTTGTATCCCATCTCCTTAAGGTCTGAATCTAAGTCCTTTGATGAAAGACTTTTAGTGGGTGGTTGACGGGTGCTCTGGTGTACCCCTCAACGGGCGGTGCTACTGACTGAAGTGTTTTTAGGCCATTCCCAAGGGGGGGACATTAATATGTTCTTATGCACAGTAGAATTATAAATGGGCTGATTCATCAGTGTCATGCTCATAACTGTGCCTGAACTGCATGTGGGGAGCTGCTGCTTTTTCTTTCCTAATCTGTATTATGGTCATTTTTCCTCTACTTCTTTTTTATGTTTGTTACTCTCTTGTGACCCGCTATTTCCAGGGTGCCTTGATAGTCAAAGCAGACTTTGTGCTGTTGAAGCTAGAGAGGTGAGCAGAGTAAGCCTGATCCCCCATTTGGACTTCTCTGTTGACATCCATCCCTTTGTGCTCATATGACCGTATGCTGTTGCGAGCGCTGTAAAAACTCTACTAAAACTAAAAACTGCTCTGGTGTGGTTTACTCCTTCTTTTCTATCAAAGGTCTGTCATCCTTATCTCTTCTTCTTTTTTTGTGTATGAAGCTCTCAATCAGCACCTCTAATCGTCAGACAACACTTAAAATATTGACCTATATCGATGTTGCAAGTGTCGTAAAACTCTTATGAAAGCTTAAAAAAAAAATTTGAATGTAATCGCTGCTGTATATGAATGTAAAAAAATTGTCAACTAGAAGGTTGGTGGTTGGCGGGTGCTCTGGTGTGGTTTGCTTCTTCTTTCCTATCAAACATCTATCATCCTTATCTCCCCTCCTTCTTTTTTTTTGTTTGTCACTCTCTTGTAACAGCTCTACTCTTCTGGCGCTCATATTACCTTATACAGTTGCGAGCACCGTAAAACCTCTACTAAAACTAAAAAACTGTCGACTAGAAGTGCTCATACTTTGTATCCCCTCTCTCGCCCCTTCGCGAGCGCCGAGAGCCACTTTAACGAGCGCAAGTCTCCGTTTGCCATCCTGGTGCGCTCCAAGACGTTTGAGCCGTACAGTCTGGCAAATGGTAACGGAAACACGTGAGTCGCCCGTTGTGCTGTCTGTCTGACCGTCTGTCTGTCTGTCTGTCTGTCTGTCTGTCTGTCTGTCTGTCTGTCTGTCTGTCTGTGGGGTTTAGAGACCTCAGAGGGATGTAATTATAGACTGTGTGAACATATTCAGATGGACATTATTATATAATGTCTGGAATTATTCAGAGGGACATATTCTTTGTTTGGACATATTCAGATGAACATTTCTATATATATAAATAACGTTTGGATATATGCAGAGAGACATATTCAGAGGGACCTTTTTATATATAAATAACTTATAGTTATATTTAGAGGGGCATATTCTTTGTATGGACATATTCAGAGGGACATTTTATATAATTATATAAATAACGTATGGATATATTCAGAGAGACATATTCTTTATATGGACATATTCAGATGAACTTTTCTATATATATATATATAAATAATTTATGGATATATTCAGATAGACATATTCTTTTTATGAAATTATTGGACATATTCAGAGGGACGTATCATTATTTGTTTTGACATAAGTTAAGGATTTTTATTGGCACCTTTGTAACGTTGCATAGACAAGTGTCGCACTACGTCGGCCAGTTTGGGTTACAACATGACAACCAGACGGTCTTTGATCCCCCTCCTCTCTTCCCTCCGCCAACCCAGATTTCCACTGACCCGCGAGGAGGCATTGTTCAAGGTCGTGGACTGTCTGGAGGAACAGGACGCCATTGTGGGCACCACGGGGATGTTGTCAAGAGAGCTTTTTGAGTTCAGGTAAAATTCTTTGGCGTCTAGTCGTCAGAGCTTTTCGGGTTCAGATAGAACTGTTTGTCTTCTAGTCATCGGCGCTTTTGTGTGGTCGCTTGTATAAGACAACCGCTTTTCTCCGCAACAATGGGTGCCCGTCTTGGACAATTTTGACAGTATATTTAGATCCGTGGTATCATGTCTACGACAGAACAAAAGCGCCAATGACTGTCAGTATCAATATACTGTTTTAAAGAATGCAAAGGGGGAGTGGGGAATGTCCGTTTGTATAGGTGGTTGTCTTATACAGGCGGCCGTTTACAGCAGGATGACCCACTTATCTCACTTAGAAGCAAAGCTCGGCCTTGGCTGTCAGGGGAGATAAGTAGGTCAGCTTGATGTGATGATTGTGGGCATAACAGCTCTGTAGAGCGCAGTTTTCTGAAGGTCTTGAGTAATGCTTAGACTATAAGGATGTATGAAAGTCTAGAGTAATGCTTTGAATATAGGGATGTATGAAAGTCTAAAGTAATGCTTTGAATATAAGTGTGTAATAAGGTCTAGAGTAATGATTTGAATATAAGTATGTAAGAAAATCTAGAGTAATGCTTTGAATATAAGGATGTTGGAAAGTCTAAGAGTAATGCTTTGAATATAAGGACATAAAAAGGTCAAAGGTAATGCTTTGAATATAAGGACATAAAAAGGTCAAAGGTAATGCTTTGGGTACCAGAATGTAAGAAGGTGTAAAGTAATGCTTTGAATACAAACGTGAAAGAAGGGGAAGAGCGCAGGTGTCAAACTCAAGGCCCCGCGGGTCACTTCCCTCCTGGCAAACTATTATTGTGTCTGTCCTGTAAGAGACTTTCATGTAGTTCACCCTGAGAATCCCTATACCACAGCACCTCAGAATGTGATTTATTTTCAACCGACCAGCCCGTGTTTGTTTTTTTCTCTCTCCCAGAGTTGCCACGAGGATGGGCCACGCCCGAGACTTTCTCACTGTGGGCTCCATGGGACATGCATCCACCATCGCTCTCGGAGTGGCGCTACAGAGGCCTGACAGACAGGTGAGTGGGGAGGATGGGGGAGGTTGAGGGAGGGAGAGGGAGATGGGGGGAGGAAGGGAGGGGAGAGGACACGCGTCCACCATTGCTCTCGGAGTGGCGCTACAGAGACCTGGTAGACAGGTGAGTGGGGAGGATGGGGGAGGTTGAGGGAGGGAGAGGGAGATGGGGGGAGGAAGGGAGGGGGCATGGGGAGGAGGAAGAAGGGAGGGGAGAGGACACGCGTCCATCATCGCTATCTGTGTGGCTCTACAGAGACCTGGCAGACAGGTGAGGGGGTGGGGGGTAGAGGAGGGGGAGGAAGGGAGGGAGCATTATGGGCCGATCGCCCGACTCGGTCGCCTCAAAATCAAACGTGTTGGATTTCAGTTTCAGGCGACTGAATCGGGCCGCCGTAGTGGGCACCACGTATAAAAAAATGAGACTGCCTTGACTTCCATCGGGTATACTGTTTGGGTCGTAAATAAGCTGGCACATTGTGACTTTCCTCACTCTTGGTCTCTCCAGGTATTCTGTCTAGACGGTGACAGTGCTGTGTCACAAAACGAGAGTAGTTGGTTTATGTACCTTGGTATTGTGACTTTCAACAACGGGTACACTGTTTGGGTAGTTTTTTAAAAGTTTTTTATTTTGTACCGTGTCCTGATTTTGGTGTCGATATTTGTAGGTTACGTAAAAATGTATTGACATGGTGCAAATTGTTATGTTTCAAGAAAAAAGAAACAAGAAAAACACAACGAGGAAACGGGGAATTGTTTAGTGGGTGATGATGATGATGATGATGATGGTGATGACGACGATGATGATGATGCAGTTTGTGTCGTTAATAAGCTCACACATTGCGACTGTTCCTCTTCCTCCGGCCAGGTGTTCTGTCTGGATGGCGACGGTGCCGTGCTCATGCACATGGGTTCCCTGGCCACCGTGGGCCAGCAGGGCCCCGAGAACCTCAAGCACATCGTCTTCAACAACGGCTCCCACGATTCTGTCGGCGGACAGCCCACCGAGGCGGGGAAGCACGAGGACTTCAACCTGTCGCAGATTGCCCAGGGCTGCGGATACAGGGAGGTCAGTCGCTGGTTTTCTTTTAGGAAACTTAACCTTTCCAGCCTCAGCCATTTTTGTGCACTCGCTAACCCCAGTCCCAGCCAATACAGAAGTATTTCAGAAAAAGAGGCACGCTTTCTAGAAAGTGATGTAGTATCTTTGTAATGAGGTTTGTGGGTGGTTGGCAGGTGCTCTGGTGTGGTTTGCTACTTCTTTCCTATCAAACATCTATCGTCCTTATCTCTCCTCCTTCTTTTTTGTGTTTGTTACTCCATTGTAACACCTCTAATATTCGGCATTTATATAACCTTATTGTGTTGCAAGTGCCGTAAAACACTTACCAAAACTAAACATTTTTTCCACTCTTCCCTCTGTCCCCAGACTCTGGTGGCCTCGACGGAGGAGCAGATAGAGGAGGCGGTGCGCTACCTGCACAAGGCCAAAGGTCCCATCTTCCTGGAGCTGAAGGTGAAGCGTGGCTCGCGTTCCAACCTTGGCCGCCCCACCAGGACCACCCACGAGAACAAGGACGACTTCATGAACTTTTTACGTGACTAGAGGATTAGTGTTCTGCTCTATGAGATTATTTAGTGTCTTGTCCTGTAGCGCTGTGGGAATTTGTGGATCTGCCAGACTGTGTATAAGTTATAATAAATTGACCGCTCAGTGTAAGACTTGATCAAACGTCGGTGGTCAAACGTCAGTTTTTAACCCTCTTAGCACCATAAATAGGTCAGTAGGTTAGCACAGCAGAACCAAAATGGCGGCCAATCTGATGGTCTCCGAGAACTGAATTATCGTTGCGTTTTTTTCATCAGAGGTTCAGGGGGTGTAGCAAAGAAATTGCTTTTTCTTTTGATCTAAGGGACGTATTTCAATGAAATTTTACATACGAACACCTAGGAGTTCAGCATCTAAATTAAGAGTGGAATATTCTTATTTCTAAGCCTGTATGGCTCCACAGTGGTAAAAGCTGGGTCTGACAACATGATGGGAAGGCTGGTTTAGTCCAGAATGGCTCAAAAAGGGTTAAAATGACGTAGGGCGGAGTTTTACACTAAGCAATAAATATGTGAAGCATGCTGACAAAATGAGTTACTTCTCGCTGTCCTCGAATGGAGATATGGGACAAAAATCAACACAGGGGTCGACATTTCTTTTATAATTTCATACAAGTACATTGTACAAACTCAACCAATAAATCGGACGTGCATATGCCCATAGGGCTAAAGTCTGAGAAGTAACTCGTTTTGTCAGAAGGCCTCACGTATGTTCTTTAGCTGAGATAAAACTCTTAGGGAAAATGTGTCCGTTTTACTGGAGAGCGTGCTGAGGCGTTTTGTTCTAGATTTGTGCTCGCAAAATGCCATGTTTCATACAAGAAGTCCGTAAAAAACAAAGCCATACATTCATATGATGTTTTGCCCTCAGTAAAAACAATTATGGCGTGCCCATTGCGGATTGGGTTGGGTCGGGTCGGGTTGGGATGATCGCCCGACTTGTTGCCGGAAAACAAACGTGTTTTTTTTTTTTTAGGGCGGGCCCAATGACTGTTTGAGCAGGAAAAAAAGTCTCCTTGACTTTTCCCATAATGCATCACGATTAGTCAAATAACTTGGTATGGATTAGATAGAGTAATTCTTTTTATAAAGATAGCGAGGCAGAATGCGAGAATACTCGTCGCTAGTTTGTGGGCGGGGCCCAGGCTTTTGCAAGTATTCTCGTGCGTAACACTGAATGAGTTAAGGAGTGGGGTTTTTGCACAAGCGGTGAAGTGTCGGTAGTTTTGTCACGTGGATATAATCTCTTAACGTTGCCGCTGGGTGTTTGTGGCAACTCCCAGGAAGATGCCAGTTCCCGTCTGTCGGCTTTCTGGGGACTGCAGAATGTCACAATAAGATACTTTTAGACCAAGACTATTTATTATATCTTAGACAAGTGTGTGTATGTGTGTGTGTGTGTGTGTGTGTGTGTGTGTGTGTGTGTGTGTGTGTGTGTATACGTGAAGTCTCTCAAAGAATGTGTCAATTTTTTTTAGTGGATCTGACATAATTGAACTTTTATATTATATATTATGAAAAAGATGACATTTTTAAGGGCCTATTTCTATGTGATATGGAAAGATTTTGCATGTTATTGTTGTTGCTGTTGTTGTTGTTATTATTGTTGTTGTTATTGTACTTCTCTGTTCATTTTTCACTTAACTCAAGACTTAAGCATTCTTTTGTTTGCGGGTGACAAGCTCTCTGAAAGATTTAAAAAAAACCCGAACCCCCCCCAAAAAAGCCAAACAACAACACTTGGTTGAAGAATGCGAGTGGCAAGGTCGTCTCTGACCATCTCTTTACACCTTTCATTGCCTTATGGTGTATTATATACCTGGCTCGTCATGAAAGGAGTTATTTTTAGCTTTGTACGGTACCTCGTCGTGGAAGCTGGCAAAATTGTTGGATCTTCCTCCTCCTATCCTTACCACAGACAGCAATGATCTGTTCTTAGCTGTCAACTGGGGGGTGAAAAACAGAATGCAATTTTGGGGCTTGCAAACAAGGGGTATATGTGGTGGCTTTTAAGGACAAGCAGGCTATCCCAGATTTCGGAGGTTTCAGAACTCCAAAAGTGGTTATTGCTCAACCTATAGGAGAAGTTTGGTTTCATTGCTGTGTATGTTTGTTTGGTTATAGACAAAACTCTCCTTGTCTTTTACCGAAACTGAACAAGGGGCAAAAACTTTAACTTCGATTTTCTCAAAACAGCTTTTTTTCGGGATAGCCCCCTTGTGCTTAAAAGCAACAATTTTTTTATCATCAGGCATTAATTACAGTCGGTGGTTGTCCTTCAATGCAAAATCATTTCTGATTTTTAGTTTTCTGAGCATTTTCCGTGGCATCCTATTTAAGTACAGTATTGTCGAAGTGTCACATATAGAGGGGAGCTTAAGTGAGTGAAAAGGTTTCTAAAAGTTTTTGGTATGTTTTTTAAATATGTGTGCTAGGTGTATGTGGGTGAAATGATGAATGGAAATGCTCTGTTTAGACATTCAAGTCATTTTTACACCTCCTATTGTTTTCGTTATTTTGCTGTCAATTTTTATATAAAGACAATTTTTTCCTCTCCATACATAAATGTATATGTATATAAAATATATTATATTTTTATGCACTGGATCATCATTGTGAGGGAGTCGTGTTTGTTGTTGTATTTTCCGTCGTACGTATACCGCACATCTTGTTTTGGTCATGATGCTGCTCTCATAATGCCACTCCCATGATGCCTCTCTCACGATGCCAAAGGTAGCTCGTGAATGTTGCTGGCCACCGATACACTAGTTAGTCTCATGTTTCGGAACACGCGCTCAAGTACAAGCCATTTGTGTCTCAGCGTGGTGGAATCAAGTGCTCGTCAATTTTTGGGCATATGGAGTTACTGGTATCATATGAAAGCTGATTTATTTGCCTTGTTTCTAATGAAATAAATATCCATCTGTCTCGAATAGAACTCAAGATATTTACGATTGAAGAAAGTGAGGTCGCCTGGTTTTAGTGGTGAAATTAGCGAGAAAATAGTCGCCAAAGTCTGACAACTCCAATAGCTAAAGTCTTTAAAAACTGAAAAATGACATAATTTATGCCTTTAATCAATGTTTTTCAGCAAAATTCACTTGGAAATGTGTTTTTATATGGACATAAAAGAGGTTAAGCCAAAAATTGAAAATTCGATTAAAATTTCCCGACTGGCAGAAAAATACCTGTTTCTCCGATTTCGTTATTTTGCCGAGCGCCTGATTTCTCCACGATGCCTCACAATAGTAGCTTCTCCCCACCCTGCTGGCAAAATAGCACGACTATCTCAGAGTTGTGCCAAAATGCACCAAAGCCTTTAATTTTGTGTGGTAGTACTCTCTCTCTCTCTCTCTCTCTCTATATATATATATATATATATATCTGTGTTTTGGTTCAAACAAAAAATGCGCTGGCAGTCATAAAAGAAACATGAACGGCAATTTTTTTACCATTAATTGTCAGATAATGAGGACAGTAGTCTAGATAAACATTTGTTGGGTTTTTTTTTGGTGTCATTTTTCTCAAAAGTAGCAAAAATAAGATGGGCCAATTTGCTAGCTCAGTGACGACATGTAGCTTATTCTGCAGTGGCCAAACACCTCAAATACATTTCTTCTATTTCTTTTTTTTTCTCTCTTTGTTTCAATACTGGCTTAGATATTTGTACGATAAGAATACTTTTTTTTGTATGTGTGAAAAAGAAACCCTTCAAGTTTTGTTGTTACTACTAGTCTCAAAGCTAAGTCATAGGTGTTTTTTTTTTGGGTTTTTTTTAAAATTTCAAGTCATGTTTTCGGGATTCACTAGATCTAGTCCTGTTATTTGAAAAACACATTCAAAGTATTGCAAATTGAGTATGATGACGGAACGGAAATCAAAGTAAATAAAAACAAAATTTTATTTTCAAGATGAATTAGGGAATTACGTTTGCCTTATTCAAATTGAAAAATGGTGCTGGTAAAGTGTGAGTTGAAGGGAGAAAAGAAGCAGAACAAAGTCTCGTGTCTTTGGTGGCCCACCAGTGGAATCTCTGAGGAACTGGAGACCACCACCTTATGTTGTTGAATGTTTTGCCAAGCTCACCCTCGTGCTCTGTACGGGCATGCGACATTCCAGGCTAGTGTGTGCAACTTTTGGGCCTTCTCGCCTCTACCTACTCTGAGTCTGTGCGGTTATTGTGGAGTGGAGTCTGTTATCACTTTGCCATCACAAAGCACCTAGAGCTGTGTTTACACTGGAGTGGGCGTTATAGAAATGATCTACATTATTATTATTATTATGTAGTAATACCCTTGCCATCACAAGCATTTTTGGGACAAAATCCAAAGAAACTGGGTGGTAAACATGGCTTATCGGCATTTTATAATAATAGATAGCATTTTTATGACAGGAGTGGAAGTTCGGTGTTCTTGTCGATTGACGAGGTGTGACGGCAAAGTGTTACACCAAACATGGTTCATTTGGAACCTGTGGTAAACTGAAAGGAAATAGCGCACACACCCCCCCTTTTTTAATAAAATTTAATTTTTTTTTTTTTTTTACTTTGTTGTTTGAACAACCCGTCTAGACGGAAAACACAGCTAAACTGAGGAAAATTCGGCAGTTCCTCAGATTTCGGTTCAAGCAGACCCCCCCCTGTATTTCTACGAGACAGAAAGAATTTGGGGCCGGTTGTATGAAAGTTGAAAGTACAGCGAGTTTGAATGATGCTTCGCGTGGTTGCGACTGACTGCGGTATGTGTTTGAGATGGTGGACAGCGGGCAGATGTAAAAGCTTTGCTTCATTTAACACGTTGGTCCTTCCGTAAAGTATACCAAACTAATTTACCTAGTCCTCCACCTTCCTTTCGGCTAGTGGCAGTCGCTCTTTTCAGGGTTCCTGTTGCCTCCTTGAATTCAAGGAGTTCTTGAATACTCCTGAAATTTGCATTCAAGAAAAATCTCCTTGAAATCTCCGTGAATTTGAAGAACCTCCTTGAAAGCTTCTTGAATTTCGCCGGATCAGACATGAACAAATTTTTTTGTTGGATTGCTCTTGACGCACTGTCGAAAATGGCATGAATTTCTTGACCAAATCTCCTTGAATTTTAAAAATTTCTACTTGAAATCTCCTTGAATTAAAACAATTTCTACTTAAAATCTCCTTGAATTTTGGTTGGGAGTTCCTGGCAGGAACCCTGTTTTTTGTGTCCCATTTCTTTTATTGCGACTGACTTCACTTTGATTTGGCTACGTACGGGTGCTCTGCCGGCTCAGTTGGTGTCATGCTAGACTTTAGTGCGGACGGCCCTGGTTCGAATCCCAAACCAGGCTTTCTTGGACTCGGGTCACTTTGAAGAGATTTAAAAACTTTCAACCCATTTGGCTGGTTCCTATCATAGATGAACGTTTGATTCTGAGGGGTCCCTCCTCTTGAATAACCTACTGGTGTGTTGAAAGAGGCGTTACATGTATTACTTGTATTGCCTGTCCTGGCCAACAACGTCATTGCACACCGGACAGGTCCATAAGTGCTCAGTTCCTCTCAGCATCAAAGCCCGCAAGGTATCCATAAAATAGGCGTTAGACTCGTCCACTTTTTTGTCCTCTCACCTAGTCCTGTGTCCTCCGTCGGGCTTTTGACAGTTGTCTCTTTTGTTGTAGCCCTTTCTTTGATCACGACGTTTTTCATTGGCTGTGGCTAAATGTAAGTTATAGTACAGCTGTGTGGACAATTTTGCCACCCTTCTGTATGTGGTTTTTGCTTTCTGATTTTTATTTTAAAAATTATTTTTTTAACTTTGGTTAGAGCATAATGTAATTTGTATGTGTCTTACGTGTAGATGTGGGTTAGAGCATAATGCGATGGGTATGGTATGTGTCTTACGTGTAGATGTGGGTTAGAGCATAATGCGATGGGTATGGTATGTGTCTTACGTGTAGATGTGGGTCAACGCATAATGCGATGGGTATGTGTCTTACGTGTAGATGTGGGTCGGAGCATAATGCGATGGGTATGTGTCTTACGTGTAGATGTGGGTTAGAGCATAATGCGATGGGTATGGTATGTGTCTTACGTGTAGATGTGGGTCGGAGCATATTGCGATGGGTATGTGTCTTACGTATAGATGTGGGTCGGAGCATAATGCGATGGGTATGGTATGTGGCTTACGTGTCTGGGTAGTCCGCTGGCGCAATTTCGTGGAGATATGATCTCAGCTTGGGTGATTTTCCACCAGTTCTCATTTGGGAGAGAAGCCGGCGGTCCTGTCGTCTGAGCGAGGCCTCAAGCTGGTAGGATGGCGGCTGAGTGAATGGCAGTTTGGGTTTCGCCTCTCTTTTCCATTTTGCGCGGGTCGACCGGTGGATGACGGCTTTAGCTGTCGAGAAATCTATTGGCGTGTCTATCTGGGTAAGCGCTGCTTATTCAGGTTGTGGATGGAAGTTCTTCTTCACAACGTGCCTTTCTTTGACAGTAAAACATGGGTGCCGTCATTCATCATTGTCGTGTGTCAAAACTTGGAAACAAGGACAACCAGGTTTGTTGTAGACTTTGATGAGGCGCATTGATTAGTCCTTGTTGTGTTCCTTTTTTACAAATAACAGCAGATTTAGACCAAGTAAACATTTTATACGTGTGGTTGAAGGGTGCCACTGGCAGGTCCTACTTCTTTACCCCCCCCCATTGTTGCTTCTGTCTGTCTGTCTTACTACTTTTTACCAGCACTAAATGACC